TATTCCAATTAATTCATATAGGTAATATACTCGTACGACTACTTTTCAGTAGTATGGTAAGAGAAGGTTCATACATTAAGTTCTTTTAGTTAGTGATTCTGTTTTAGTCTCAATAGCCTTTACCATATGCCAAAGAACTATTAATATTTTGACTCGATTTCTGCTCTTCTAAGTTGTCGAAGTAAAGATTTCACTTGTTGTAGAGCAGTATCGTTATGCTGATAAAAAGGAGATAAAATATCCAGATAAAGTGGTTCAGTTTGCTGTAAGTCTGCTAAGATTCGATTATATAATTCCATTTTTGAGTTTTGGAGAAAAGCAGAAGTTTAATCAATATTTACTCTATTTATATAGATTTTTAATAGACTTCTATTTACAGGGGTTTTTAGGACTTTTCTGTTTAATTCCCTAATCTTGTAAGCTCCATTCCCAATTATGTCATGTATATAGTATGGTCCTTTCCATTTTGGGTCTAGTTTTTCTGACTACTGCTTATCTAGTATTGCTTTGTAATACAAAACTTGATTGCCTATTTGGTATGACACAATTTTCTTTAATTTTTCATCATGCCAATCTTTCTGTTTTTGTTGTTCTTTTTGCAAATTTTGTTGAACAGTATTACGAATAATTGGTAGCTGATCTAATTGTTTTTCCACATGGTTGAGCAAGAAGGATTTCTTCTCCATTTTGTACTATCCATTAGTAATTTAGCTTCCCGACCATACACGAGGAAAAAAGGCATCATTTTTGTAACAGAATGTTTATTTGTTCGATAGGCAAAAAGTGCAGGGCGATGAAACGATCCCAATCTCTTTGGTGATTGGTAGCAGTTCGTGCTAGGGCTTCTATTAAAGTTCTATTAAACCTTTCAACTAATCCATTGTCTGTGAATGGTATGGTGTTGACATTCTATGAGGTATTTCAAATTTCTGTAGTAATTCATGTAATAGCTGATTATTGAAATGAGTATCACGATCGGTAAGTATTTCTCCAGGACATCCATGTCAGCAAATTATATCTTCATATACGAATTGTACAGTTGTTTTAATATCATTATACCTTACAGGCTTAGCTTCTGACCACTTGGTTAAATAGTCCATTGCAACGATTATATACTTATTTCCTTTACTTGAAGCTGGTAGAGATCCGACATAATCTATTCCAATATGGTGAAAAGGTTATCCTATAGGGATAGGATGTAGAGGTTCTATTCTTGAGGCTCTTCCTCTTTTCTGATAAGATTCACATGATTGTACATAGTTCTTGATATCTTCAAACATTTGAGGTCAATAAAAACGTTTTTTAATTTTCTCCATCATCTTTTCTTTTGAACTATGAGTAGCAGTTGGATCATTGTAAAACATGTAAAGTGCAGGTTTCAATTCCGTTTTCTTGAGTAATCTAATTAAGTTACTTGGGTTATTCTTGTTAATTTTGTATAATAAATTATGTTTGATAATGTAATGTTTTGATAATACAATTAATTTATGTTGTTGTGTTTGATTAAAGGTAGTTGGGTATGTTTGGTTGGTTAAATAATTAAATAGTTGATTATATTGTTGTTCTTCTATGGTTAAGAATTTAAGCTGTTTATCACGTTGTAAACACTTTTGCTTTCACTTAATTCTTTATATTATATTAATGATTAATTTAATAAGAGGGGGAGAGGGATGCATTATCAATGTCACCAAGGTAAAAGTGTAATTATGCACGAAGGTTTTCTTGTTATACTAAGAGAGGTTCTTCCCACCAGAGGTTATTAGTTAAGTATTCTGGTTTCATATCCGGTTGAATTTTTCCTAAACCATACCCAATGATACAGTCATGTATGATAGTTCCATACAACAAATTTTTCTTGTATGCCTTACAATATGTGTGAACGTGATGATTTTCAGTATCACATGAGAAGGTGCATTGTGATCCTCCTCTGGTGATGGGTTGTCCAGCAATTACTTGTTTAACCTTTATGTTCTCACGGTAGATTTCCTCTAATTCATCATTTGGAGATTTATACCCATAGCGGTAATTAAGATAGTATTAGAGTATTGTCGAGACAATTCCTCTTCAAACCATTCCTCACTTCTTTCAGATTTGGGAAAAGAAATATACCATTCTATATTTTCCTTTATACTATTGTTTTCATATTCATCGTCAGCTATATCTATTTCAATAAGATCAATAATAAAGCATTCAGCAGTTTCTTCGTCATACATGCAGGACAATGCATCAGCATTTGCATTATGTTTTCCTGCTCTATGTTCAATGGTAAAATGATGTTATTGCAGTTCTATGATCCATCTAGCACGTCTTCCTTTTGGCATTTTTGAGGTTTTTAGCCATTTTAGGGCAGCATAATCAGTCACGATAATAAATGGTCGACTAAGGTAATGATGAAAATGCTTGATTGACCAAATAATTGCTAGACACTCTAAGTCAGTGATGGGATAATTTTCCTCAGTTTTGTTGATCGATCTGCTAGCATATGCAATAACATATTCCTTTCCATCCTTCTTCTGAGATAATACAGCACATAATCCTTTCTTTGAAGCGTCAGTATATAAAGTAAAAGGTATTTCAAAGTTTGGGTACTGTAAGATTGGTGCCTTAATAAGCCTTTCTTTTAGTCAGTCAAAGGCATGTTATTGTTTTTCTCTCCATTCAAAAGGTTGATCTTTCTTTAATAATAAAGTCAATGGCTTGGCATGTCATGCAAAATCTTTAATAAATTTTCGGTAGTAACCAAATAATCCTAATGCAGCACGTAGTTAAGTTAGACTTTTTGGTTCTGGGAATTCTTCAATTTTCTTAATCTTCTCTGGATCAGGTTGAATTCCTTCTTGTTCTACGATATGTCCTAAAAATGCTAAGGAAGGTTGGCAAAAGTAACACTTCTTTAACTTTATCGCAAGGTGAGCATCCCTAAAGGCTTGGAACACTTGTTTAACATAATCGACATGTAATTCAAAAGGTCCTTTTGTATATATGATTACATCATCAAGATAGACTGATACAAATAATCTAAGAAAGTCTTTAAGAATCCAATTCATAAGCCTTTGAAAAGTTCCAGATGCATTATTTAAACCAAAAGGCATGACTAAGAATTCATATAATCTATTTGCTGTAATAAAAGCAGTTTTCTCAATATCATCTGGATGCATTGCTACTTGCCAATAACCACTAACTAAGTCAAGGGTAGTAAACCAATTTGCTCCGCCTAATGAATCTAATAAGTCGTCAATTCTTGGTAATGGATACGCATCAATTTTTGTGACAGCATTGACTTTTCGATAATCGACACATAGTCTTTTTTCACCTCCTTTCTTTTCTACAATTATGACAGGTGAGGCTCATGGACTATAAGAAGGTCGAATTATATCATTTTCTTCCATTTTCTTTAATTTTTGATTCAAGAATCTGGTATTTTCAGAATTAGTTTGATATAGTTTTTGAGCAATTGGCATAGCTGTTCCAGTATAGATACGATACTTGATTTCTGTTGTTCTTCCTATATCTGTTTGACTTCTTATGCAAATATCGTAGTATTCTCCTAACAGATTCATAAAAGTCTGTTGTTGATGGTAGTCCAAAGGTCCTAGTTGTTCCAAGTATGTTGGATCAGTTTTAGCAATATATCCTGCGACTTCAGCAAGATAGGCAACTGGGTTGTTCTCTATTGGTTCTTCTAATTCTTCATTATCATCAGTATCCTCTTCAGATTGAATAGGAGAGTAATGATCAGACCATGGGTTGAATCCTAACTCATCATTTAATTCTGATTCTTCTGATTCAACATCGTCAGATAAATAAATAGGATATTCTTTTAAATATTCATCCTCATATTCTTCACTTTCATATTCATCTTCAGCTTCCTGAGTCATAACTTTAGCTGTTTTTGTAAATGCAATAGGAATTTTCATGGTAATTCCATCTCGTTTAATAGTAAGGATGGATTGTTACCAACTCATAGTAGCATTGGTTACTCTAAGCCAATCATTTCCAAGTATAAGGATTTCATCTTTAGATTCGAGTACTTGAAAGGAAGTGGATACATTAATTTTTCTAATCTTTACTGGTATATTGTCAATAATTCCGAAGGAACAAGTCCTTGCACCATTCTCTATTACTACTATCATTTTTGAGGGTTGATTAATTTTATATTCTAGTTTTTCTACTAAGCTATGGTTATGATACTAGTGGCAGCTCCACTATCAATAATTGCAGTTTGAGCTTTTTGTCCAATCCTTAAAATGCATTTCGCTGCTGAGGTTGGTTCATCATCACTTTCTACTAAATTGGCTTCCTTAGTTTCATCAGTGACTCTTTCTCTTGAACGCCTGACAGCTCAAACTAAACCAGAATGATATTTGGGGATAACATGTACAGCTTGTCTTACCGATAGTCCACATGGTAGATTTTGAAAATAAGTTGAGACATTAAATTCCGTTAATTATTCAATAAGAGCAGGTAACAACCTCCTTTTAGGGGCATTTAATGCTTTTCAATTCTAACTAGTTCGATCACGGGTTCTGGTGTTGGTTCTTCCATTTCTAATTCTTCAACAGTTATTTTAGGTGGGTTTTGAAACTTACTGGTCTTCGTTTATTTTTTGACACAGCATTCTTTGGGTAAGGTCCAGACCTAGTGTTAAGATTGACTTCATATTCGTCTTCTTCATAATATTCTTCTGAAGTATATTCCTCGTCATTATATTCTTTCTCATAATATTGGTCAGCAAGATGTATGTCTCTTGTATTATCATAACGAGGTTTTCTATCAATTCCTCTTGGTTGTTAACGAGGTTGAGGGCAATATCTGGCTATGTGGCCTTTCCTATTACAGTTGTAACAAGTCATAGAAGACATATTTTATCTTGGTCTTTTATTAGTATCATTGTAGGATCGCTCGGTTCGTCTCCTTGGTGATTATTGAGGTTGAGCTAATAAGGCAGTTGTCAGGTTAGCATAATTAATAGATAGTTGTTCTAATTTTTTAGTGAGCTCATCCACCTTGGCATTAGTAACCACGTTTTAAGGAATGGAAGCTGTGGTAATACTAATATCTTTGGATGCTTTTCCAGAGGCGAAATTATATCCAATTTCAATAGTTCTTGCAGAATTTACAGTGGCATCTAAATCAGCTAGATTTTGTGAGTAAACTAGGGGAGTGTAGGCAGGATTCAGTCCCATAAGGAACATCCTTTTCTTCTATGCATCATCTATTAATCCTACGTGAGTCACTAATTTCTTAAATTTATTAGCATAAGAATCTACAGACTTATCTGTTTGTTGACGTAAAGAAGTTAACTCCTGATACCATTGATTTTTTTTGGTCTCGCTAATAAAACGAGCTTTGAATAAATCTACAAAGTTTTGACCACCATTTGTTCTAGTATTTCAATGATCTCCCATAGTAGCAGTAACGCTGTTAAGCCTAAACACTACGTCGTTAGGATAACAAAGCTTATTTGCTAACAAGGAGTTTAAGTTGTAATCTATGAAAGAAATAAACACGAATTTATTTAAGTTGAAGGGTCAGGTCGTCTTTATTGATGATTTATGTTTTAAGGAA